TAGGCTTAAATAAAGACTGGTATGGCTATGGAGACCTAAATTCCAATTTAAAAAGTTAATTTAAGATACATATACAAAGAACTAAAAACAAAGTAATTCAACGTTTTTCAAAACAAGGCAAAAAACCAGTTTAACCAAAAATTCACCAGCCCAGTTACTTATCAAAATTCCATTCAACATGATAAATACCACTGCTAAATTCATAAGCTGTGTTCATAAAGAAAAAAACCAATTCACTGTCTTACAGAAACTCTGGCTGTACTGCATCATCAGAACTTTAAAATGGTAAAACCAATACCTGACTTCAGCATCCTCGGCACAGTCAACATGGAGAGCAGATGAAATATCTAGTTGTTCCATTCTTGTATTCAGTAAATACAAATTTTGATCTATACTGATCACTATCAGATTCTAGGTGTTAAACAAGGAACTATTCAAAAGGTAATTTTCTAGCTTGCTTCCTTCAAGCCACTAAGACATCTGCACAGCTCAGTCTTATTTCCTGACCAATTAGCAAAACATATTTCAATGAAGGGTTTGGCCCAATGACTATTCTCAACCCAGAACACTCAACAACCATAATAAGGAAATGGAGGAGAAACAACAGTCAAAGGCCAGTTTCTTAATTATGACACGTCCTTCATTTCCATACTGAAATTTAGAAGACTAACACTAAGCAAGAAAAAAGTTGGATGTTAGATGTTTATTTACTTAACTAAGAATATTTAACTTCTTTGAAAAGGGAATTCTAAAGCATTACATATGCAGAGTTTATGATAAATGCTCATGAAAGTCTGCCTAATTTAACCAATAATAGGTTATCACCTCAAATAAATGTCTTTAATAAGGTAGAAACAACCCAATTGTCCATTAACAGATGAATGGATAAACAAAATATGGTATATACATACATTGGAATATTATTCAGCCATAAAGAAAAAGCAAATTCTAATACATGCTACTATTATGGATAAACCTTAAAACCTGTATGCGGAGTGAAAATAAGTCAGACACAAAGGACAAATACTGTATGGTCCCAGTTATATGAAATATCTAGAATAGGCAGATGCCTAGAGACCAAAGATTATTAGTGGTTACCAGAGACAGGTGGGAGGTGGAAAGGGGAGTTACTGCTTAAAGAGTTTCTGTTAAAGGCAAGGAAAAAATACAGAAACAGATAGTGACGATGGTTTCACAGTATGGTGAACATAATTAATGTCACTGAATTGTACACATAAAAATGGCTTAAATGGCAAATGTTCTGTTATATATACTTTACCACAAAAAAAAAAAGCCCTGGAAACAGAATACTCTACAAATTGACTTAACCAGAAACCTAAAGTTAATTTCTTCTAAATGGTTTAATCAACAAAAGCAAATATTTATGAATTTAATAACACAATTTTTATATTAAAAATATATCTTAAGGTGACCTAAAAAATTCAAACCCTTGAAAATGCTTTTTCTGTTGTTTCTAATGTTTCAGATTGTATCCTACTATGTGAAAAATGGAGAGTGAAGAATTTACAGTAAAACCACAATGACATACCATCTCACCCCAGCATTACTGGCACAAATCAAAAACACTGGAAATAACAAATGTTGGAGGGGCTGCGGGGAGATCGGAACTCTTATGCACTGCTGGTGAGAATGTAAAATGATACAACCATTTTGGAAAATCATATGGCACTACCTTAGAAAGCTAGAAATAGACATACCATACGATCCAGCAATCCCACTCCTAGGAATATATCCTAGAGAAATAAGAGTCGTCACTTGAACAGACATATGCACACCTATGTTCATGGCAGCACTGTTCATAATAACAAAAAGATGGAAACAACGTAGATGCCCATCAACAGATGAATGGATAAACAAACTATGGTACATACACACAATGGAGTACTACGCAACGAGAAAGAACAATGAGGAATCTGTGCAGCATCTCATAACATGGATGAAACTGGAGGACATTATGCTGAGTAAAATAAGTCAATCACAAAAGGACAAATATTGTATGAGACCT